CTAGATTCGTCTTCATCACTACTTGATGATGACTCTGAAGACGAATAATGCTGCATAACACATGGAGAATGTTAATAGAAGCTATAAAACAAGACACCATCCGTTTAAGCTCATTGTCTATTGTCTTAAATTATAAGCACCTTTCTCTTTTTGCTTTTCTTCTTCTTCGAATCTCTGTCCTTATCTGCGAGGTCATCGATTCCAATGGCGACCAGTTAATAACTTCCACAGGAAGAAGGTTTGTATATTTTGTCTAGTTAAGTTGACAAAATTACCTTTTCTGGACTTATCACTAGAATAGTTCCTTCCCTTGGATAGTTTCAGCGCTCTTTCGGCATCCAGCTGAGCTCTATACTCACGCATCAGTTTTTCGTTATCTGCTTCGAGTTCCCCCTTTTTCATTTCTTCTTCCTAAACATGTCACGAAAAGAATACGTCGTTAAACATTTCCAAAGTCCTATAAACACAATACAGAGAAGCTCCAGAAGGTAAAAATAAACTGATATTGCAGATAAAGAATATGTGAAAAAAAAATGAGCTTGACCACGATCTATTGGATTTAATGCAAAACAAGTATTAGAGTTACTTCAAAACCTACACTCAGAGATAGACGAATAAGGGACATAGTGAAATTGACGACAATAATCGTGAGCTTATGAACACTTAATCATCAATGGTTAATTTATCTTATATGGCGATACAACAAGGACCAACATTCCATACACCATTCAGGAGATTCTTAAACTTTGAACAATGGAAAAGGTCTCAAAACAATATAAAGATTACCTTTTGCTTCTGCTTATACTCTTCCCATGTAATTGTGTGTGTAGTCTTGAGACTAGCCAAACGAGCCGCATGCCACTCTGGTGTATGAAATGAACCATCCACCTGCGACACTCCTCATCAGAAATGTTCCGGTAACAGTACAAAAAAACTATCATTAAGCCAAACAAAAAAACTTGAAACAGAGAAGCAGCAACTGCTTGTCCAAATGCTTTACAGATTACAACAACAATTATGAGTCACTTGAATCACTCAAGCAACAAAATTCAATGCTACTACACTTTAAGAAACTTCAATTTCCTCAAAACATGAACATAACATAGTGAAAACGCCCTAACAAGTTCTTCCCCAAAATTGGGACTCATAAAGGATCTATAAGCAATTGCAGGCTAGTGAAACTACGCAGCTCGATGACCCATTAACACGAAGAACAACAAAACCACAAGTACTCAAATAAAAATTGGATTTTTCTTGAAAACGTAAAATTCATTATGAGTTGCAAATTAAGAAAAATAGTATGAAAAGGTACAAACCATTCCGTCTTCAACCTCCTCAGGCTGCGCCGAGCTAGAGCCAACTCTAGATCTCTGCATAGCTTTGTAAGCTTGATTCTTCCCCATAGCTGATACAAAAATCAAAGATTTATTTTACCCCACAAGAAAAAGTCCAAATTTTTCTTTCAATAGAAAAGAGGATTCTCAAAGGGAGAAAAAGAGAGCTAGAGATTAAAGATGAACAAGTTGGTGAAGTTTGGGATTAAACGGTCCAAAGGAGAGAATTTAGAGATCTGT